TACACTTTATTCTATAGAATTCTGGTTATTCAATCGTTGTCTTTTTCTGGTAGCCAACATTTATAAAATCTTTTTTTTTCTGGTTATGTGTGTGTTTTGGTTGTATATGTTTTTGTTTAGTGATGTGTCGAAATAGTTGATTGAACAAACCCAGAAATGGAAGCGAAAAACAAAACAACAACAAAAATTAAGTGGGGGTGGCAGATTTTATATCAGCCAAGAATAAAAAACATCGATTTATAAAATTGAGACTGGTTATTATCTTTTATCTTTTGTTGTTGTTCTTGTTGTTGTTGTAAATAACAACAACAAAAAAAAGGGTTTGGTTTTTTCATCCATTTTTCTGGTTGCCCAACTTTTCAAAATCCATTCGAAACACACACACACGCTATGCGACAAACATTGCGCACTTGATATAATCATCATCATCATGATGAGGGTAAAAATAGATGAACTAGAAGGGGGAATGAAATTCTGGTCCATTGAAAAAAAAATCAAAGGAGAAAAAAAAACATGAAATTTAAACCAATCAGAAAAGAAACGGAATGAAAGAGGGAAAAATCCAGAATTCTAGAATTTTCTTTTGGTTTCTTCTGGAACTCCCTTCTGGTTCTTATTTATTTTCAACATTTGAAAAAAAATGAAAATTCAAAACCCAAAAACAAAAAACAAAAAATATGACACATTCAATCTGTGGAGAAAACTGAAAACTGTTGTTATTTTTGTTGTTTTTTGGCCCTGTATATATTGTTTATCTGGGTTCTGAATTTAAGGAAAGAAAAGAAAATCTAGCAACAAGCAACAACAACAAAAAAAGCCAAACCAAACAACCAACAGACCAAAAATAATCTTGGCGCCTCAAATATAGCATAGAAGAAGAATCCTTTGTTGGAAAATAAGAGAAACAAAAATTCCGCATCCAAAAAACAAAAACAAAAAAAATCAGCATTAGATTCTGTTGAGAATTTTCATGAAACAAACATGCGCATATCATTTTGGTAAAATTGTTGAATTTTTATTGTTGTTTTCTCAACAACAACAACAAAGCCCTCCAGAATAAGCAACAGCAGCAGCTGCAAATCATCATGGATCGTTTTTTTTCTGCCCCCTTATCATTATATAGAGATGGAAGCACTCAGTGTTTGCTGGAAAAATGAAAATTTCGGAATAAATTCTTGAGAAAAAAAAACTAATACAACCTCTTTTTGCAAATGTTAAATGGTTGGTTGTACTTTTTACTAGAATTTTCCATTTTTTTAAAATGAAAAAATTCATCCAATCAAATCCAATCAATCGGGTTACATTCAAAATATTGAGATTCAACAAAAAAAAGTTTTTTCTTGGCTGAAGAAAATTTCAATCTTGATTTATCAATTATTCAAAAAAAAAATGTAAAAGGGGGAAAAATTGGATTTTTTTGGTTTCTCTGTAAAATGAAGGCGACGAAAAAATTTTTTCCATGGGAAAAAATGTTGCCAAACACACACACACTCAGACATTCAGACCAGAAAAAATGAAAACATCAATATCAAATGGGATCAAAGACCTTGATTGCTGCCTTGGTTCCAGAACCAATTTTCTTTTTTTTGGGACGAAAAAAACAATTCAAATGTATTACCCTCTCGGTTTCCAATTTTGAATGAACAGAAAAAACGTATTGGATGTTAATTTGCATAGCCTTTTCTCTCTCTTTACTTTAACCAAACCGTTATAATTCAAACATTTTGGGGGTATTTTCACACACACACACACACACTTTCTCACCAAACACACTTGTTCGATTTTTTTTTTGCATCTTTAAATCATCAATGATGCTTATCAACAAAATCAATAGTGTACAAAAAAAAGGAAGCAAAGAAGAAAAAAATTTACAAAAAGAACTCAATATAAGGGATATTTCACCATAAATCTTTTCATTACAATTTATTCATTTTTCTCTGATCTTCACATCACTTTTGCCATGTCAATATTGGCTGTATATTTTATTTCTTTCCATTCCCCCCTCCCTTCATTCACACCCCCTCAGTAGATCATCATCTTCAGTGACAGTAGGCCGAGAAAACGTCACTTTTTTCACTCTCTCTATAGTGATGTGTGATCCTATACATCACTTACAGTGAATGTTTGATGTTCATGGTGGTGATCCCTGTGTGTATGTGTGTGTTGGTGCGATTTACCAATAAAAATAAAATTACCTGGAACTGTATTATTGTTGCCTTTATGGATAAATGAAAATTGTTTAGTGTTTAGCTATAGAGCGCAAAGCTAGCGCAACTTGTGCTTAGTTGAAATGATTACACCCCCCTATCTCCCTTCACACACAAAAACACAAACATTTTTTCCGCATCCAAAGCAAAAAAAAAGTCCATTGCACTTTGTGGATCAATCGATGATGATGGTACTTTTCAAGGTTTTTCCTTCTCATTACGTACATAAAGCGGGACTTGTTCAAAGTGTGATACATTTTTTTACTGGAAATCGAAAAAAAACACTGCCGCGCGCGCTTCCACACTCACACACACATCAACAGAGATCAAACAAAGATTTATTATTATTGACTGAATGAAGAAAATCAATGTGAAATCTTGAGGAGAGAGAGAGAGAAACGAAAGCATCCCAAAACAAAATCTTATTTTCCAAAGAATCCTTATTTTTTTCTTTCGTTTGTGTGTTGAAAACACACATAGCACAGCACACATCTTTTTGACACAAACATAAGCATCATGCAAATGAAATAAATAAATAAATTTGTAGCAAAAAAAGTTGAAAGGTCATCATCATTTACGAGTGAAACGAAACGAACAAAAAGAAAATAATAAAAAATGTAGCAAAACAGCAAAACAAAACAAAACAAATGACCAATTCAAATGTTGACCAAACAACACAAAAAAAGAGCGATAATAATTTATGTGAATTTTTCGTTGTTGTTGTTTGGATTTTTTTTTAATGTTAAAAAAAACGCGTGTGTGGTTTATTGTCATCATCATCATCATTATCAATCGGTTTTCTTTTTCTTGGTGGTCTTTCCACCAAGCAATGATGCTTATAATGCGATGTTTAACGATTATTGTGATGATGATGATGATTATAATGGACAATCATTTTTTTGTTTTGTTTATTATCGTTTTGGTTTGCCATCACTTAAAGTACGACGAACTTTTTTTTATTATTATTCATTTTTTGTTACTCTTTTCTTTGACCAATATTGCGAAATTTGGTTCATTTAGTTAGTTAGTTTTTTACGGTCTTTGTCTTAGTTTGAAAGGTATTTAAACGAAAGAAAAGAAAAGATTTGCAAGCTTTTGGACGACCAATAAAACAACAACAAAAAGTACCGAATGATTTATTTACATTCATTCGTATTCATTCACTGACAACAGTAAACTGACCATAGATTTTTGGTTTTTTCGACTAATTTTTGTTTTTTTTTTTGTTTTTTGTTTTTCTTATTGCATATCATTCATACAAGTTATAATTAGAAACATACATTGATCTTGTCGCGCGAGCTTTGAAAGTGCGCGCGGTTTGTGTATTGTGGATATTTCGTTTCGGTTCTATATGTGAATTTGATGAAAAATTTAAGCTTCAAGCAAGCAAACGAAAAAAAATTGGGAATTCTTCATCATCTTGATGATGATGATCATCAGTGTCATGTCATTTGGTTCAAGAAAGAAAAAAAGTCGTAAAAAAACGACAAACATAAGAACAACTTTGGATACATTTGAGAAAGAAAGAAACTGACAGAAAATCGTTTGCATTTAGGAAAAAAAAACACTTTGTTTCTTTTAAATATTGATTCGTTTTGCGAAAATAAAGGTTTGACCGCGAATTTTTTTCTTTCTTTGGTTATGAAATTTATATTCGAGCGAGAATGAGAAAAACAACGATAAATTCATGGATTATCATCATCCATTTGATAATAATGATTTTTCTTTTGATCAAATTGCGAAATCCATTGTGTGTGTTGGTGTTGGTGTTTGAAAAAGTAAAAGTAAATCACGGTTAATCTCAAAGAATTGCGAAAACCAAAAACCAGGTCATTCTACATGATGATATTAACCTGTATATCAGCCTGAAGAGGATGTATACCAGATCTATCTGGTTATCAGGCGAAAATTGATTTTTTTCTTTTTTGTCCAACCTGAAAATTATGCAAAAAACTTTTAGCCTAAGTAAAATTTAACCCTTTTTTTGCGCAAAAAAATTTTTTTCTTCCCCTATCTAATCTTTATTTCTTAATTGTTTGACTTGTTCATCATCATCTTTAAAAGATCATCTTTATTTTGTTTTTTTGTTGTTGTTTTCTTTGTTGTTGTTGTTTTTTCCAAGTGTAACGATCGGGTTAACACTGTAATGATCTTAATAATGTTAATGATGACGATGATCATCATCATATCATCATTATCAACAGAAAAAATAAGAGGTTCATATAATATTAGATAATAATCATCATCCAGATGGGGGTTATAATCATTATCAATTTTCTTTACTGGTAAAAAAGCTGAAACACACACAGGTAGCAATGACCTATCGACAATTTTGACGACAAAAAAGATCCATACGCATCAATGGTGGGGGAAGCAAAAAAAAAATCAACAAAAATTATTGGCCAAAAAAAAGCAAAAAACAAAACCAAAAATAAATGTTTCGATCCATATTTTTTTTTTTTTTGTTTTGTTTTGTTTAATTACAATTTAAACACTTTGTTCAAATTGAGATCAGGTTAATGTGTTTTTTATTTTTCGATAAATCCATAAAACAAGAAAAAAATGAATTCATTTTTCTCTTGTTTTACGATTTTGAAATGACAATAAACAAGTGATGCAACAACAACAACAAAAATCATGACAGACATTTTCCATTGAACAATTTTTATAGCCAGAAAAAATTAATGATAAATGTTTTTTTTCGATGAAAAAACGAATGGCCATTTGAAATATCAATTTCTCGAGAATTTTTGTATTGTTTTTCCGGGAAAGTTGCTCTAAAACCGAAATTCCAAAATTTTTCTTTAATCAAATTTAATTAATTATGGAATGTGTGTATAAAAAGGTCTGACTTGGCAATAAAATTGTTTGGAAAAAAAAATTATTAAAGAAAATCAGCTACGAAGAAGAAGACGAAAAAAACTAAAGTAAATTATGACCAAACATTCAACAAAATCAGTACCAAAACCATCATTAAATGTAACGGGAAAAGATGCATCAACATCTAAAACAAAACAAATTTCAACAAATACAAAAAAATCCAATGATTTGATTAATGATAAAACGAAGAAAAAAAAGAAAAAAGATAAAGAAAAAGAAAAAGAAAAAAAATCATCAAAACCAACGGAAAAAACAACAACAACAACTGCAACTAACGAAGATGATGTAGTAGCAAAAACTAAATCTCATTCATCTTTAAGAAAATTAGATTCATCAATTGGTTTGGGTAATATTAATCGACAAGAAACAGCATCATTACAATCATTATCAAAAAAATATCAAAAATTTGGTAATTTTATAACACCATCAATGACAACAACAATGATAAATGATCATCAAACAACAACAAATGTAGCATCTAAAACATCATTTTTAATGAAAAATAAAATATTGAAAAAAAATATTGAACATATTAATCATTATGGACAATATCTTTATGATTGTGTTATTGTTTATCTTTATTGTCAACGACATAAACGTTTAGCTATTGCCGATGTTAAAGATAAAGGATTATTTTTACCATATACACCAATTCGACGACATGAATCATGGCAATCAGCTGCTGAACGTTTAATACATGATTTAATTCGGTTATCATCAACCAAACCGAATCAAATTCGTCAATCACCATCATTATTTAATGAACCAATTTTAATGGATATATTACGTATACAGATACCGGATTGTTTAGAATTTGTACAACGTATTGTATTTCGTATTGATATAAATTGTACAGATTTATTAAAAATTTGTAATTGTCAAGATAAAAATTCGAATCAATTAATATCATGGCATTTAATTGATGATATACGTCATCATACTGATTGTCGTGATTATTTTGGTCCTGAACCAATGTTAATTAAATATGATGATAATTATGTAAATTATCGTGAATCAACAATAATGACAACATTAACAAATGTAAATCATTCATCAAAAAATATTAATCATTTATTAAAACAAATGAATTATAATGAAACAGATATATTACGTTTATATTCAGATTTCATACAACATTGTTATCCATCAGAATTTATGACAAGTTTATCGTTGAAAAATTTTCTTATAAAATGGCAATATGAATTACCAATGACTATGATTGAAAATGGTTTGAATAAACATAATTCAAATGATAATACTAACAATAATTATGGTGAAAGATTTATACAAACTATAAATCAACAAAGATCAACATCTAAAACAAACAATCAAACAACAACAACAACAACAACAACAAGTTCCAAAAATTTATTATATTTAAATTTTAATGAATTTATATTAGGATTAGCAAGTATTGATAAATTAATTAAATCAATAACATCGATAACTGAATTTAATACTAAAACTTCAAGTGATGATAATGATAATGCTGGTGGTGGTGGTGGTAATAAGAAAAATAAAAAAAATGATGATACAACAACAGTGACAAAATCACCATTAGATCATCTTAGACGAAGACAAGATGATTGTTATCCACAATTTCGACCACGATTAAATCGACAACCATCATTTACAACAACAACAACAACAGCCACAACAACAACAACAACGGCAAGATCAATATCAACATCATTGTCTTGTCCATCATCATTATCATTATTACAATTATCATCATCATCATCATTAATATTGATGGCAAACAATAGTCCTGATAATGTTAATAATAATAATAATGATAATAATTTAATTAAACAAGATAATTTAAAAAAATCAATTAAATTACAACAACAACAACAATCACATCATTCACATCATCAACAACAACAACAACGATATACATTATCAGTACATATGGTCAAAATGACTATTAATGGTTGGTATTATGAACCGATGGTAAGTTTTTTCTCAATTATAATTATCATTATTATCGTCAATCAATCGTATGTGTGTGTGTGTGTGTGTGGTGTTTGTTTTTTTCTTGTCGGTCACACATTGAAATGATATGCAAGATATCAAATTCGGGTTCAAATGTCAATGAGCGTTGTATGGTTTTGTTTTTTTTAAATGTTTTTTCCGATGAAATTTGTCCACAAAGATTTTTATTATCATTATGATGGTGATTTTCGGTCGGGATTTAAGAAGAATCTTTATTTTCTCATAACCAAAACATTACAAAATTGTAAATCCCAAAATCTTTGGGTCATTTGAATGGAAAAAATGTGACAACTTTGAAAATCAATCTGATTGAGGATTTAGTTTTTTTTTTGCTTTGAACTACTTTCGGAGAAATTTTTTTTCTTTGATTTAAAATAACAAAACATGTGTCTAGTGATTATTACTAATATTGAATTTCTATCTTTTCTGTTTTTTTATGGGCACAGATCAATAATTATCCGGATGTAAAACGTATGGCAAAAGTTCGTCGAAAATTATCGCAAAGAAATTTTAATCCAACATTTTGTTGTAATCGTATGATTGATGCAATACGTTCATATGCATATCGTAATGGTATTGTTTATTTTGGTAAAAATGCATATAATTATGATGATAGTTCAAGAAAAAAATCCCGTAAACATAAATATCATCGTCAACAACAACATCAACATCGAAAAAGTTTGAATGTAAGTAGTAAAAGTACAAGTAGTGATGGTGCATTAATATGGCAACCAGATTCAAAAGAATGTATTAATGTTATTGTAAAAATTTTGAAAGATGTAAAAGAAATATTTAAACAAGATAATATTGCTATTATTGATGTACAAACACCTTGTTTTGTAATTGGTGATTTACATGGTAATTTACATGATTTATTAGTTTATGATCATACTATTATTAATCATCGTGGTTATGAATCATATTTATCAACAACAAATTATCTATTTCTTGGTGATTATGTTGATCGTGGTGATTATTCAATTGAATGTATATTATATTTATTTTGTCAAAAAATACAAACACCACATCGTATACATATGCTGCGTGGTAATCATGAATGTCGTTCATTACAAAAAGAATTTACATTTTTTGATGAATGTAGACAAAAATTTGGTGATCATTTAGCTGAACAATTATGGAATTTAATTAATGAAGTTTTTGATCATATGCCATTGGCAGCAATTATTGATGATTCTATATTCTGTTCACATGGTGGTAAGTAAAAATGATGAAAAATGACAAAACGACCATTTTATATATTCAATTTTTTTTCTTCTAAATCGCAGGAATACCATCATGTGCGGAAAAATTAGAACAAATTGCCGCAATAAAATTACCAATGAAAGAACCAGAATTAGAATCAAGAATAGCACATGAAATATTATGGAATGATCCGGTTTCGGATCAAGAATATCGTGATCTATTACAAAATACACGTTCAATGACAACAATGATGGCTGTTTTAAATCATAATCAAAAAAATCCAATGATTATGCAAAACAAAAATAATAATGATAATAATGTAGAAGATTTGGATAAACAACAAAAACAACATCAAAGTGGTGAAAAAAAAGATTCTACAACAGCAGTAAAAAAATCACCATCAGATTTGAAAAAAAATGAAGAAGGTAAAAAAAGTAGTAGTCCTAAACAACAACAACAACAACAACAATCGAATCAAACATTAAAATGGAAAAGTGGTTTTCTACCGAATACTAAACGTGGTACAGCATGTTATTATAGTGAAGAAGCATTAACAAAATTTTTAGATGATAATCATCTTAGTCATTTAATTCGTGCACATGAAGTTATACCACCGGGTTATCAATATCATATGGGTGGCCGTTGTTTAACAATATTTAGTTGTTCAAATTATTGTGGTGGTATTAATGAATCGGCTGTTTGTTTAATTAATGATCAAAAAATTCGTGTTATAAAAATCGATACAAATACGGCAACAATGAATTCAACATCGGTGGTTAAAAGAAAAACAACACCACCACCACAATCAAATACGGATGATGATGATGATGATAGTAGTACGGCTGAAGAAGAAACGGAAGAAGAAACAGAGGATGATGAAGAAGAAGATTGACAGAGAGATGTGTATAGAAAATATTTTGTTTTGTTTTTTTATTTTTCAAAAAAAATTAATTAAAAATAAACCAGAAACAAATTTGAAACCGAAAAAAAAAATCAAACATAAGGGGAAGAAAGAGTGCGAAAGTGGCTGCTAACTTTAATCGATTCCCAAGAAACAAACAAACAAAAAAATATCCTTTCTTCGAAAAGATTTTCATTTATTTTTTTGGGTAAATGTGTGTTTGTGGTCATCGACAATTTCTTAAGAATCAATTTTCATGATAATTTCTTGTTTTTTCCTGTTTTCAATATCGATGTTTCTGATGTCATAATAATATTTTTGTTTGTTTAGATTCTTTGTGATTGTGGTTTATGTGGGTAAACATTAACCCACACACACACACATTCACAAGAATTGAATGGGTGTAGAGTTTGAACGAACCCTATGCAATTAGGTTATTATTACGTAATGAATCTTGGGTTGGGATTATTGATAACTTTTTTTTCACAAGAGAAGTAGACATTTAATTTTTCATTAAAATTTTATTTTGAAAATAAAAAATAGAATTTCCATTAAATTAAAAAAAAAAAATTCTGTCCAAACCAAACCAAACAAACCAAACAAAACAAATCGAGAAATGAATGATGAGTGTTTGTGTGTGTGTGGGGTGGAAAGATTTATAAATATTCCAGTATATCTTTTTCAGCAGTTCCAGAAAAAACCAAAAAAACGGTCATCGTTGACCATCAATGATGATATTTCAACGTTTATCATCATGATGATTATCATCATTAACAAGAAATTCCGAAAAAATTCAATGCATTCAAAGTAGTCTTTATAGCGACATCTTCTGGTTTCATTTCAAGATATGCTGAAACAATTTCCAATGTAATCGGAAGACTAGATGGTTCATTTCGTTGAAATGAACAGTAACTATGTTTGGATGAATTTGACAAAGGTTAAAAAATGTTAAAAAATTCAATTTCAAAAAAAAAATTTACCGATTAAGATAGCTAAGTGAATTTTCTGTCAATGAATCTTTTATGTTTTGTGATAATTTATTACTACGAATATTTGGAAAACAATATGGACTATCGGTTTCAAGCACTGTCAGGATTTGAAACAAAGAAAAATTAGTTTCGAAAAAATTTTCAATAATAAAACAAGAACTTACTTAGACGATCTAGGGGAAATTTTTTCTCCACAAATAGCTGCATCAGACCATTTTCAGGTTTCATTTTTGAAATATAACCAGTTATACCTAGATAAAAACCCATATCTAAATATTTTAATGCTTCTTGTTGACTACCGGTAAAACAATGTACAACAATATTCGGTAATAAATCTTTATATTGTTCTAATATTTTAACAAAATCTTCATGTGCATCACGTTCATGTAAAAATAGTGGACGATTTATACCTTGTCGTTTTAAATCGACAGCAATTTCAATTTGTTTAATGAATACATCTCTTTGTATATCTCTTGGACTAAAATCACGATTATAATCCAGGCCTATTTTCAATGCGAAAAAAATGAAAGTTTTTAATTCAGAAAAAAAAAACAGAAAACAAAACAAAACATACCACATTCACCGATTGCAACACATTCACTATTTGTGGCCATTTCTACAGGGGGAAAAAACCAAGATATGAAAATGATATTTAAAAAAAAAATAACCCAAACCTCTTAACATTGATTCTGAATGTTCGGTCCATTGTTTGGCATCATGTGGGTGAACACCTTTTTATGTGTGTGTGTGTGTAACAATCAATCAATAAACAAACACATAAAGAAAGAAAATGGAAATTTTCTTTTCAATTAAATTTAAACTAATTTGATGCAATATTTACCTGCAGTAAATAAAAGTATATCTAAATGGTTGGTTGGTTGTGCAATAAAAATTTCCAATGAAATTAATAATTTAAAACAAACCAGAAAAAAATAATGTCAAATTTTACCTGGATGTAAACGTGCTAAACGTAATGCTTCACGACTTGAATTAATCGATGTACCGGTGACAATAATTTTTTTAACACCAACATCTTCGGCACGTTGTAATACCGATTCTAAATCACGATTAAATTTTCTATTAGTTAAATTTGCACCAATATCGATAAGTAAATAATGATGATCAATAATATTTAGATTTAATGTTGAAAAATCTTGGCTAACTTGTACACGAACATTTTCACTTAAAATGTTCATGATATATTTCAATTATTCGTTGGGATATTCAGTTGATGGATTATGGATGACACAATGTTTGTTATCGGGAAATTTATTTATCGAATCTAATCAGATCGAACATGAATGAATCAATTTTTTTCTCTCAATATTCAAGATGCACAACGATTCACAATGCGAATTGGCCAATGAATGATGACGCCTTGATTTTTTTCGATTTATTTATTACAAAAAAGACAACAACAACAACAACCACGCCATACGATTATTTCTGTTTGTTTGTTTACCTTATAAACACATATTTATTATCACTTTTTTTGTAAAAATTGATTAGTTTTTTCTCTTTTTTTTTGCTTGTTACAAAAATATATTTACCCAAAAGAAAATTACTACAATATTATTATTAAATCATGATGAGTGAGAAAAATATTGTTTATTTACAAAAGCAACAACAACAAATTATATCACACATACACCTTCCCCCCGCAAACTTATTGATTGGGAAAAAAAGGAATGATCAACAAATTGATGATGATGATCATACCACCATCAAATCCATCAGATGATAATCGTCTATATATAAATTGGCATACAAGAATAGAGAGTGTTGAAAATGTGTTTGAGTAAAATTCAATGTGGCTGTGTGATTGTTGTTGTTGATTGTTGTTAAAGATTTTAATGATGATTCACACAATTCTATGGTATAGAAATGCAGCAGCAGGCAATAGCAGATAGCATCAAACAAGACAAACACATACACATTTGGGGATATTATTATTATTATTATGATTTTTTTAGGATAAAATAGATCTTCATTGTAGCCTAGCAGCAGCAACGATGAAGGTTATCCACAACCACCACCACCACTATTTCGTTGATGATTTTCTTCATTTGATCATCATCATTCGTCGTCGTCGTCGTTGTCCCATCTCCTCGTCATTCTGATTGATTAAAATCTTATAAAACGTATACGACGATCACTTGCATCAATAAATACCACTGTTGCTGAATCATTATTATTATTATTATTATTTACAGAAGATTTTGGTTCCAAAATTGTTAAACATTTATTATCAAAATTTGTTTGAAATCCACTGTTATTCAGTTTATCTTGTTGATTTTCATTATTGTTATTAATATTATTTGAACGTATAACAAATTCTAAATTATTAATGGATAAAAAATTTTCAAATTCTTGTCGATCAAACATTAATTGATGATTGATTTTTGTTTGTTTTGTTGTTTTTTCAATAATTTTCTTTAATATTTCAACCGAAAAAAAAGAGAAAAAGTTTCAAAATCAGTTTAAAAGTCAAATCATCAACTTACCGGTGGATATCGTCGTTGTCGTGGTCGTCTATGATAATATTTTGCAAGAAAAGTTAACATCTAAGAAGAAGAAAATTTGGAAAATTAGTAAAAACATTGAAACAACTGACAAAAAGGGAATCATTCTTTAGTTGAGAAGGATTCTATCAAATATAAAACAAAAGAAGATCATTTCGTTCTTTCAATGAATTCAGAATATTCTTCTCTTCGTGATTTTAGAGCATAGCAAAAATCAAACAAGAAAAAACAAACCTGATTATCTTTGATAATCTTGAAATTAATGTTTTTTATTTTCTTCAAATCAATATCATTTTTCATTGATTTGGATATTTCTTCCGGTGGATTTTTTCCAAACATTATTGTTGATAATGATTTAAGTTGTTGTTGACTTTTCATTTGTTTTAAGCTTGTAATCGATGAATTAGACTTTATTGTGTTTAAAGCACCATTGAACACCACATTTTCCATTGGACATGAATTGAATTGAAATAAAAGAAATGATAACAAAAATGAAATATTAGAATAAAGGAATTAGGAATTTGTAAGTGAGAATAAATTAAATACACACACACACACACAAGAATGATACATAATATGATGATGATTAAAGAATATATTCTTTGTCTTTTATCATTCATTTTCACCAGGGCAACGGTAAAGAATTTTAGTAAATAATAAATAAAAATAAAATGGAATTGTGTTTGGGTCGAAAAGATTTTCGTTAAAGAATATTGGAATAACAAAAATGTATTTTTTTTCATTTGGAAAAAGCTTTCAATACATTTTCAACTGAATGGGGGATCAATATGGAGAAACAAAAAACAATGATAGTACAGATGAACCTAATTTAGGGGAAAAAAAAGAATGTTGAAAAATGATACCATCACCATCAATAAACCTTGACCAATATTATTATTGGATTATTTATCAATATTTTTTTCTCTGTTTCAAGAACAAAATAAAGAATTATTATTTCTTGCGAAATATTTTGTTCATTTCATTTCGTTCGTTGATCATTTTTTTCAACGCCAATTTGTTGTTGTAAAACAAAACAAACACAGTCGTTATTACTTTTTTTTACTTGGCTGGACTTTTTGAACTAATTTTTTTCTCGAAGAAACATTTCCAGACTTAAAAAACTACTTGGTAATAAAAAAAAAGAAATTGCTGCCGCTGTTGTATTCTTTTTTCGGGTTTTTGGATGGGAATTTTCTTCGTTTATCGCTTACGAAATATATAACAACCATTTCAAGAACAAAACAAAACACTTTCGATTAATTAATAATCATCATCATCTTAACAACAACGATACATTGCACACACAGACACACATTGCACAAACAAACACAAACACCGTTGATTTTGATGAAATTTACTTGATGGTGGTGTGTGTGGTGCTTACTTTTATTGATGTACAACTAAAACTTCTTGATGATGTTAATGATGTTGATGGTGATTGTTGTTTCGGATGTTGTTGTTGTTGTTGTTTCTTAAACTTATCAAAACTACTTGTTTTTGGAATTGTCGTCATAAATCCATCGTTGTTGTTATTGTTTGAACAGCTTTTTTTATAATGAAATTTTGCATCATTTATTTTTATTTGTTTATCCAATAATGTTGATGATGGTGGCGGTGGCGATGGCGGTGGTGGTGGTAATTTTATCGAATCTTTTTTCATTATCATTGATGGTGGTTGTTTTACTAAAATTTTTGTAAATTGTTTCCTATTCAATTTCGACAATGATGATTCAGTAGCCATTTTTGTTGTTGTTGTTGTTGTTGTTGTTGTTGTTGATTTTGGCCTTGAAACCAATTTATTTGTTTTCAATGTAGAATCATTATCATCATGTGGAAAACGTGTAATGATCTAGGATAGGAAAACAAACAAAAAAGATAAAAAACACAAGGTTCATTATTATTATGAAACTTGCCTGTTTAGTTATCTGATTCATATGATGATGATCATCATCATCACGTTTTTTATCAATAATTTTGTCGTTTTGTTGTTGTTGTTGTTGTTTCATTGAATAAAATTGTTGTTCCAGATTCTTATTCGTTGTCGATGATGATGATGATGATGATGATGATAATGATAATGGTATACCGGAATGTACACACGCAATACATTCATCAACAATAATGATTATTGGTAATAATGAAAATATTTTCGACAATGTTTCAGCAATAATCTTTCCATATTGTTTACCATATTTTTCATAACATTCATTATATAATGATTCGTTTGTTGTTGTTGTTGTATCATCGATTAATATTTGTTTTGTTTTGGATGATGTATATGTTGTTGATGATGATGATGATAATTTGCATTTGCTTTTGCCTTTACTTTTACTTTTACTTTTAGTTTTTCCATTATTATTATTATTGATTGTTTTAATCAAAAAATCTGTCGATAATTCATTCTGGCCACGTAATAAATGTACTTTATTCGGTTGAATTAATTTCATTGCAAATAAATATACTAAACATTCGATACCAAAATTGAATTTTTTACTTGAATAATTACCTATATTTATTTATTTGGATTAGTTTTGTTAATTAATCAATTGAAAATTGAATCGATTTTTAAAAGATAATTTTTTTTTTACCTAAAAATATTAAATTTTCAGCTATGATTGGAAAACTTTGAAAATAAAGCCTATTCAATTGTATTAATCGATCTAGATTACCATCAATATTACCAAATACAAATGCCGGTCCATTTATTTTGATCAATTTTTCTTCATGGCTTAACATAATAGCCAATTTTGAACATAAAACATTCAAAAATTTTGCAAATATTGATCTTTCATCCGTTGATGTCATTATACCGAATGATTTTTCTGTTGTCAACGAGGACGGCAATGATGGTTGCTTTTGTTGTTGTTGTTGATTTAAGATTTTCTTATTTTCTACATTACTTTTACAAACATTGATTTGATTATCATGAATTTTTCTATAAAAATCCTGTATTAATTCAATAAAAATATTTGCAATCGATGTATTTGAAAAGATAAAATCCATTGAATATTGATAACATTGTCGTTCTTTTATTTCATAGTCGATTAAATCTGTTGATTTTTCTAAATGTTTTGAATGTTTTGTTGATAATTCATTCGTTACAAATGATAATAAATCAACGTCATCATCATCATCGTCATCGTCATCATCATCCGTATCCTCATCATCATCATCATTTCCACATTGAATCGATGATGATGAATGTTGTTGATATTGTTTCCAAATAATTTTCGGTTCAATACAACGACCATTCTTATTCAATGTTACACAATGGCTACCAATACGATATAATATTGATGATTGTTGATAACAACAACGTTGACATTCTTTATTATTTATTTTATTATTATAACGTTTACTACTATTTATCGATTTATTATTCTTATTCTTTTTTTTTGATTTTTTACTATTCATTGATTTTTTCTTTTTCGACTGTTCTTGCTTCTGTTGTTGTTGTTGTTGTTGTTGTTTGGTTGAAATAGATTTCGATCTTTCCAATTTATTATTATTTTCCGTTAAATTTTTCTTATTATTATTTTTATTTTTAGTTTTCATTAAACGCATCAATAAACTTTCTTTCATACGACAAAGATTATTTAGTTGTAATTTTGTTTTTAATGTTGTTGATTGATTTTTTTGTATTGATTCGGCAAAATTTTCAAATGTTATCATATTGTTGTTGTTCGTTGATGTTGATGGCGGTGGTAATGTTCGTCGAAATTGATCCAACAATTCATTGATCATTGAATTATTATAGTCTGGATGTATATCTTTAAACATTTTCATTAAATCCATATAATCAAGATGATTTTTTCTACCATAATCATAATATCTTTTTTTTTTTTTTTTTTGATTGAAAAAATGAAAAACAGGGGAAACATTTTTTAGTTTCTCAATTTTCTGAATCATTAAACACAAAAGAAAATTAAATGAAAACAT